AGAATTACTTCACTTTACTTTGTTGCACTTTTGCACATTACAAAACAATCGATATATTTATGTCTACGGTGTTATATTCCACGTATTTCATGGTCTTTTGCTTCATCGGCATTTTAATATAATTTTTGTTATGCTTTTGCTGCAAACGGCAGCATATCTTTAAAACTATAAAAAGAATTTGTACGCTTGTACGTACAGTGAACTGCCGTTTTGTGCGATTAAATAGTTTCTCAGGAAAACACGTAAACAGAAAATCGCAATAGAATTTTAATTTAACTATCATTAATTATGACTATAATAATAGTTTCTACCACACTCTACATAGAATTTGGATAAAGAATTCAAAAAAAAAAAAAAATAAATATATGTATATATATGTCTAAATATATATATATATATATAACATTTAGACAAAACTATTATGTCTAACTTGGATTTATTTTCGTAAAATAAGAATTTCCTTAATTTCAAAATCAAAGCATTCTAAACAAAATCTTTTTTTTTTAAATACAAAAAATCAAGTTCTGAGAAATTATGAAATTATTCAGATAAATATTTATTGCTGTTTTTTATATGAATATTTTTGCAGTAACCCGACTCTTTCCTTATCTTATGTTGTTTTTTTCACGAATTTGTTTATTATGTTCTACAAATGTTCCTTTTTTCTTCTGCTCTTTTTTTTACAAAACCATCTCTTGTTTTGTTTACTATTGGCATGACTGTTTTCTTTCATAAAGCAAAAACTTGGCATCATTTACACATGCTGCATAAGTTATTATTATTATTATTATTATTTTAATTTTAGACTAATGAAATGAATTCTTAGACTAAAAAAAAGACATTGAGCACTAGCAACACAGGCTATCGGCTCTGCATAAGTTAACATTTGTTCTAGCCGAGATTTGGAGTTTTTCTAGTTTTTGAAATAATCTCGGTGCCATTTGGAAAGTAAAATTTTTAAAACTTGGACATCATGTGTTCAACACAAATGCAATGCAATTTACCTACAAATTTTAGTTTTTATTTCATCGGTAATAAATGAGTAAAAAATATATGAATTAAAAATTAAACAAAGAGTGAATTTGAAACGTGAATTGTTTTTTGTCTTCGGACTTTGTACCATTTATGTCGGTCTTTTTCAATCAGCTTACGCAACCTTTAATTTCAGCAACTCGAATGCACAAAGAGACGCCTTCTGCGACTACTAACAAACAAAAAAAAAAAAATAAATAAAAATAAACTGAAATGTAAAACTTCACTGTCCATTTTTAGGAAATCTTCGAATGAGTTTCAAGTTTCAATTTGAATTTGCATTAAAAGAGACTTTTCTTTACACATTTACGCGAAATAAAGTTTATTACGTTATGTAAGCAGAATGGCAGACCCGCGATCAAAAAACAAATAAAAAGAATCTTTTCAAAATATTTGAATGCTATGTACACAGGTATATGTGTCCGTTTGTTTGTGAACGTATGCCATTATTGTATGAAATATGATGGAATTGATTTAGCCACGTACGACCGTTCATATTTGATTTATTCATTGAAATTCTCAACAAAATCGTCATATATATTATTCGTTAAATTCCATAGACGAAGTGTGACATTAAGATTAATCTGTGCGCTAGGAGAGCTACACATCTATGAAAAGAATATCAACTATTTTATATATTTCTATAATGAGGTTATGATATTAGACAACATAAACGTCAGTTGTTTTCCAGTTCGAATTTAATTAGTTAAGTAATTGTTTTTTTTTTTTTTTCTCTTTTAATAAGCATCTCAAATCTAGTCAGAGCTCCACTCGTAGTTTCCGGTTTTCTATAAAGTTTTTTTTAAAGCGAACAGGAGGTCATCTGCTATTGATTTTGTCAAGAGAAAAGAAAATGAAAGCGAGAAACTGAATTAGTCTGCGACAAGTAAATCATCAGATCAAGTTATGAAGCGTACTAAACATTGGTGACGCCTTCGCCAAATTGTTGCATATAGTAATCCTTTAATTCATCTGCAACAGCCAGAATAGATGTCTGGGATCTCGATTAACCGTGTGTTCTCAAATCAGGAGAATATTTACAATAGATGTTACACAAACGGACAGACGCACATGCTTTAATTGATTCAAAATTTAATGCTAATTAAAAATATATATACTTTATGATGCATACTGAAGTTTTGTTCGGCATATTGCCTTAGATGAGGGATACAAAAATGTAGACTATATCGAGAGGTCTGAACACACTGCTCGTTATAAAAAGTTGACAATGGGCTGTTGCCGAGTTTCTTCGATATCGACAGCTATAAATTGACCTTAAAATGAATCAGATATAGAATAGATTCAATGAATGTACAAGCGTTTGCGTGTTCATGCCAGAATCATCTTTGATTTATAATTTTCCGGTGTTCTTAATATTTAGCTTTAAATTTTTTCTTAATACTTCAATGAGATTAAATATGAAACTCGAGCAAATCATTCGGCTTTATCCTCCTTTCCTTCCTTCATCTCTGTGCACTTTTTCGATAGGATAACATTTCCCTCATATTTACCTCTTCCGTTCCCTTATGATCAGAGTGAACTGAATAACACGAGCGATCAGGAAAGTTTTGAAAATAAAAGTTAGCACCAAAGGGAACCAAATAGATAAGGACAACATCAGATGCTAACGCTATTATTTGACAATCATTTAATTGTTCACTTTTTCGCTACCAATACTTTGTAAGTGCAAAATTTCTGTTAAACTGCTACACTCTATCAAACGTCTGCAAAGTAAAAGAATGTACTAAGCATGGCACTGATTACGGATGCCGTTAGCCCGGCTCCATTTTCGAATTTCGATGTCTCTTGCTGTATGTATGCACAAGAGGTCCAAGAAGCGCTCTCTGAAGACTGTCAAATTGGGCGTAAACAAAATTCCTCACGTTTTGCGTTAGTATTGCTGTAAACGTCATATAAAATAAATTCCAAACAAAATTTTTTATTTACAAATAGCTGAAGCAAAACAAAATTTTCAATTTTGTGAAAGGTAAGTAAATGAATTTTCTTTTTTTACTTCTTACTCTAATTGCCTAATAAATAACCTTTACTTCCTCAAAGCCTGTAATCACCTGTGCATCATCGGCCTTTCCATACCTCATCATACACTGTCGCTATCATTGATAAAGTGCAAAGGATCAATAAATAATAAAAGCTCATCACTATACTCGATATATTGGTCTTACGGCCAATAGGCCCATCTAATTCTTCTTGGTATGAGTAACTTCTTGCGTTGCGTTGTTATATAACGATGATTGAAATATTCCTAATATTATCTGAAGGGACTGGATGATTAGCATAACCTGGATGGAATAGTGGTGAGTTAATCGACATACACATATATGTTTTCATAAGGTTTGCACCCACGCCATGAAAATTGCGGCAACAATGCTTTTGATTTCCTGGATCAAGGTAAATTTATTTTGACAACGTTGTCAACGTTCCACTAGAAGCTTCTCAATTGAGGCGAACAAGTCAAACAATTACAATCAGCATATCTTTTGCAATTTCAAATTGAATTGCATTGAAAATAAAAGATATAAAGAATAAATTCGCTTAAAAAAGGTTTGGAAAAATTAAAAGATTGCCTTTTATTTATATGATACAAAACTAATATTTCATATACAATAAAAATAAGTAAGCAACTTATATTCAGCGGAAGCCGAATTTCGCATAACCATCACTATGTTTTTCGCAGTCTACACGCCAAGCTCTTTTATTTGATACCCATATCGCTGGTACTGTCGCCATGTCTACCCAATCCATTTTAGAATTAACCCATTTTTAGGCAGATAACATATCTTCATTTGAGGAATGTACAAAACAGTTTAAAACATTCTGTCTTATTTGTCTTATGATTAAAAAGTGAAAAAAAAAACAAGTTTAATTTTTTGTAACCTTGTGTGTGGGCAAAGCCGATTTTTTTCCATTTTTACACGTAAAGACTACGGTGTTTCGTAAAGTAAGTGTGGCAAAGTTCAGCCTTCTAACTTTTATAATTTCGGAGTAACGAGCAGAAAACCCATACATTTGTGTTAAGAAAAACAGAGTTGCGTTCTGTTTAGACTCCACCGCGGGCTTCTGCTCTGACCAAATCCGTCCATTTTCAATGCTAGGCTGCGTGAAAAGACTTCCAATGTCTCTATGATAGTATACATAAATACATATGTATTTTTGAAACGAAAAAAAAAAAAAAAAAAAATAAATAAATAAATTAAAGATTAAGCAACACATGGATCGTTTATTCCAAGTCGAAGCTGCTTCGAAATCTTAGTTTCACTAAATGCTTCAATAAATGCTTCGGTAAAGATTTTCTTTACAAATGTAAATACATTTAATCCTAATTAGAAATGTTTACATTATAGGAATAATTCATTCTTATTGAATACGCTATCTATCACGTTAGCCTGCCTTGCGGTAGTGCGGTGCAAAACACTTTTCACCTATCCACATATGTCGCAATGTTGGCTGATTCTCCCATAAAGTTAATCGAAGGCCTATCTATGCAAGAATTTCGAAAAAAAATTAAAACTGTACACACCCACACAGATAATAAAATGTATTAAAAAACTCGGCCTTAATCGTTATCAGCGAAATTGAAATTGTTGTCTTCATTTTTCCGAGAGAAAATACTCTTTTCACTCTTTTTACATTCGTTTTTCTTCGTGCAAGCAGTTGTACACTTGATATTTGTCTTTGATTCGATTCGAGCCGATCTCTTTTTATTATTTTAACTTTTTAGATGACAAATCAAATCTACTTTGTGTATGTGTGTGTGTGGTCAATGCGTTATAATTCATTCTCTTAATCAATTCTCTCTGAAATCGAGATTTGTGTGCATTTTGTATGTGTTTATATATATATATGTATGTGTGTATGTGTGGGTAATGTCAAAAAATGCATTTAAAAGATGAAAGAAATAAGTGAGACTTGTTAGTTCGTAATTATAACTGCATCTGGAATGTATTGAATTATATTTATTTGATTTTCAGTATATCGAGAAATTAGGAGAACGATATAAGACAAGCGATGTTTTCATTTTCAATTATCCTATTCGGTGTAACGTTTCTTTTCATTATTGCGTCTTATGCGCTTACACTGTTTAATCATATGCGCAAAGTAAAAATCATTAAAGTTTCATCGAAAGGAAGTGAACGAATTGTTAAGGAATATAAACAGGCACCGGGACCAGTTCCGTGGCCTATCGTTGGTAATTTGGCGTTGCTTGCACGCTTCGACGGACCATTCGAAGCATTTACCGAATTATCGAAAGAATTGGGTGACATTTATAGCCTCACAATTGGCTCGATCCGATGTCTAGTCGTCAGCAATTTAGATTTGATTAAAGAAGTTTTAAATCAAAATGGAAAATTTTTCGGTGGCCGTCCAGATTTTCTTCGCTATCATAAATTATTCGGTGGTGATCGTAATAATTGTGCGTGACTATATTACTTTACTTAATTTCACTTTTTATTCCGTTTTATATAATTTATTCATTAATGATTAAACTTTGCAGCGCTTGCGCTATGTAATTGGTCGCCTTTGCAGCAGAAAAGACGAAATTTAGCCCGCAGTCATTGTTCACCCCGTGATTCGAGTTCGCATTTCCAACGTATGTCGGATATTGGTTGCCTTGAAATAACTGAATTAATGCTAAAACTCAAAAATGAAATTAGTAAAGGACATGAATTAGATATTAAGGCTTTACTGCAGCGAACGTGTGCTAATATGTTCACTCACTATATGTGCTCGGTTCGGTTCGATTATGAGGATAAAGATTTCCAAAAAACTGTTGAATATTTCGATGAAATATTTTGGGAAATTAATCAAGGTCGCGTGTATGATTTTTTCCCAGCATTGGCTCCATTTTTTCGCAAAAATATTACAACCATGACTAAATGGTCCGCGTTCATAAGAAATTTCATCTTGAAACGAATAATGCACGATCGTAATCGTAATATAGATATGGAAGAAGATGAGAAAGATTTCACGGACGTCATATTAAAAAGTCTGAGTGAAGGTGAAAATGTTACCAACGACACGATACTTTATATGTTGGAAGATTTTATTGGTGGGCATTCAGCTGTAGGCAATCTTGTCCTGATAGCTTTGGGTCATGTTGCAAAAAATCCTTTAATTGGCGAACGGATCAAGGAAGAAGCGGATAAAATCTCAACAATCGCTAATCGAAAAGTCAATCTCTATGATATGGATAAAATGCCATACACAATGGCTACCATATCTGAAGTTTTGCGATACTCATCGTCGCCAATTGTTCCCCATGTGGCCACTGAGGATGCCATTATTTCGGGTTATGGCGTTACGAAAGGCACAGTTGTATTTATAAATAATTTCAAATTGAATACGAGCTCACAACTCTGGACAAATCCGGACATTTTTGATCCTGAACGATTTCTCGAACAGACATCGGAAATAAAATCTCAAAAATTTCTATCCAAAACTAAATCAAATCCTAGAGCCAATCCAGATATGGAAACTGTAAAGGACAATTTAGATAAGGAAAATTTGGATACAAATATGCGTTTAAAAGCCAATATTCCGCACTTCATACCCTTCAGCATAGGGAAACGAACTTGCATTGGACAAAACCTATTACGTGGTTTCGCATTCATTCTTTTGGCAAATATATTACAACAATATCGGGTATGCGCGAAAGATCTTGCAAAAATTAAAACCAAACCAGCTTGTGTTGCGTTGCCAGTGAAAACGTATTCGTTAGCACTCACAGCCCACACTACTCGTGGAAATAATATTCATTTATAAAATGTTAACACTAACATTACATAAACGTCAAGTCGTCTTTTACTAAAATAAAAATAAACATAATTTAATTTCGCGCCTATTTGTGCTTGATACCGCTTTATAGCTCTTATCTGACGGCTCTACAAATTAGTCATGTCACTCTTATTAAAATTTTCTAACGTTATTAAGAAGAAGGCTTACAAGGCTTAGGGCATTTGCAAGAATCTTATTAACCGTATTAAACACTCACAGTCAATTTTTTCTTCCTTCCTGCGCAGACCTCTTTCAAGTGCTGGAGTAGTCGTAAAAAAGAAGAAAGAAAAATTTGCTGACATCGGATAGCCTGGGGGAAGGACCCGGCTTGCTTATTTCACGCAATAAGATTACCTCGTTGCGAGCGACAGTCTGTAAGACACAGTCTAAAGTGTTTAATATCTAATTTGAAAAAAGCAAAAAAAAAAAAATAATTCTATCGTCTAATTAGCGATTATTGTCCATAGCTTTTTGGCTAAGCACTGCTTTACCTCTAACTTGCTTTTTAAGATCAACCAAATATTTATTGGAAATCTCGTATCTAAGAAGTAAAGAAAATCATATCGGCATGAGACCTAAGTTTTTTTTTTCTTTTATGATTTACTCAGATCAGAGTGGATATCCACACATGCAGTGGCAGACAAAAAATAAATAAAATGTTTATATAAACGTTAAGGTGAATTTTATTAAAGAGATATGAAAGAAAAAAGTTCGTGGCTTTTATTGAAATGAGGGAGATATCTTTTATTGCAAGCATTGCCGACATTTGCCGATTGCTATTCAATTTCTTTCTTTATTTTAGTCAAGATTTGCAATTACATGGAATTCTGAACGCGCGTTAGGGATGTATGCAGACAAATTCTTATCACAAGAGGTTACATGAAATAATATACGTAAATGTTGATATGCACCTGTTGACTGCCACAACGACAGAAAACAAAATTTATAGCAAAATTGTACTTATTAAGCATAACTCTTAATATGTGAACAGAGAGGAAATGTATACAAAGCGATGAAAACATATTTATTTACAATCTTGCAATGCCCCTTATTATCGCAAATAGTATTTTACAGAAGACATCGCGAAGAATGTCAGACGGGAGAAAGCTAAGGCATCTATTAATGTCTTCCTATGATATATATATATATATATATATATATACATAATAACTTGGAGCGGGTAACAAATTTTTAAATTTGGTAAATTGGTAAGAATGGAGCTAAGGTGATATATAATGATAATGAACAGGAGCCACTAAATGCTGATTAAAGAAGCAATGAATCGCAAAAAAAAAAAAAAAAAATGCCATTACCATGCCCTTCGAAATGACCGATCAAGGAGTTAAGCAAAATTTTCAACGGTATACACAAGCATTTTAAAACAGATGCTGAAGTTATTGTACGATTTATTGAAAAATTTCGAGATGCTATGACATATAACAAACAAAATGGCGATCGCGACAAAAAACTAAATTGAAACTGAAATGCAATAAATAATTTCAGTTATCTTGATAAGACGATACCTTCGTTGATGTTTGTGGGTCAAGACGACTTTGACCGAACGATGCGACCGTTTCTTATCCTTGAGGCCGGAAGCAATGCGAATTCCGAATGTTATAGCTTAAAATAGCCTGAAATTCAGATATATAAATTTATGAAACGTATTCCGCAGTACACGAATTACAAATGCTGCCAAATCGATGATAAATTAGGAGCAAAAGCAGAGAAGTAAACGCAATGTAAACAAATAATTTTAATTTCTTATGCTTATTGACATTTTTTGTAACTTTTAGTTAGGTAGCTCTCATTTGGACGGCGTCCATTGAAAGCTAATTAGGCTATGAATTATGTATGGCTTTCGTCATTTAAAATTTATTTCAAAACAATATACGGAAACAGAATTTCCCAAAACTTGCGAATTTTGCCATCTCCCTCTTGAATCATATTTGCTCTTTCGCTCTTCCATCGACCTTAACAAATGAATTTAATACTACACTTTCCATCTTTCAACAACGTTCCTCGCCTTGTGATGAATGTCATTGTACTTCCGTTTGATTGAATCGACTGGAGTTCTGTACAGGTTTAAGTACAGCTTTAAAGCTTATACCGTTACAGATAAAATCATCATCATTCGATTCAGGCTATACTTGCCTGTTTGTTTCATGAAATATTCCTCACTTTGTGCGAGCTTAGGAAAATAAATGTGGGCACGACGTATCCAAAGAGCGGATCATAGGAGGTAAATAGGTTCACCTTAAGTTATCACTAGTATCAAATTTCCTGGAAATGTATTCAAAAGCCGGTATTGACAAATATGTTTCTATAGACGTTGTTCATAAATATGCAAAATCATTTACTCACGCATTCTCGGATAACGCAAGAGAATTTGAAACGTCCTGCAGAGGCTTTTCTCCGTCTTGCAAGATCCTTTTCCGCCAAACCCGATGTTTCTCTATTGCCAGATTACATAATATGATCAAAGGAACCATTCTGCCTCATGAATATATGCGATCAATCTATTATATATAATACTTAGGAATTTTATTTATTTGATTAGACCTGTTAGCGATAAGACCAATATATCCAGTAGAGTGACAAGTTTTTTTTATTATTTGTTTGCGACAGCATACGATAATGTAGGGTAAGACTGATGATTTACTTGCGTTTCAAAAATTTTACATTTTCTATTCTGCTTAAAATTTAAAACTGTTTTCCCACGTAAATGCAACTCTAAACAACTAATATCAACTCTGAAAAATCAATGCTAACACAAATGTAAGCTATTCAGTTTACACCTGATTTGATATGGTATGGGAGAGCATATTTGGCATTTATGGTGTATACATAGAGCGAAAACCAAAAAAAAAAAACTCGAAAATGAAGCCTACTTAACGTCATACATAATTAATGCTCTGATTTCAATTAAGCCCACTGAGCTCAACTTTAATGTAAGCACTCTTCTTTCTCTTTTCTTTTCGTTTCTTTTCGTTTCTTTTCTCTTGTCATCGTAAGATTGCAATATTGAAAGGTAAATTACAATAGGTCTTTAATTTAGGATTATTCTGGTAATAAATTTTACAAATACTTTTTACCCCAACTTTTACTTTCTATACAAAAATTAAAGTCATTTTCTATATACATAAAAGAATTCATGCAGGTAGGGTTATAATTACTTGGTAGAATTTTTAAGGCTTAAGAAGTGTTCTGCGAGTTATTATTATTGTTGTTGCTCTTACAGGGTAAATTGAGTTAAGTAGGCAAAGCCATCTCAAATCATTTCTAATTTCTATGTTTATTTTTGACTTCAAAAAGGAAGAGAGAACAAAGCAATGCAAGGTTTAAGAGCATCTCATAGATTTTTTTAAAAGCATAAGCAGAAAATAAAATTCAATTGTTTCTGCTCGCGTTTTTAGTCCTTGCTGCGCGTATAGGTACCTGTATGAAAAAGTATTGTTCCACTATTATTAATATTATTATTTTTTTTTTTTTGCTGGAAATTTAATAAAATTGTAAAAACTTATTTAATGATATTGCAGGGAGCCCGTTTATAACCACAAGGGATTAAGAATTTGAAATTGGCCTGAAAAGCAATCTCGAAGAACCGTAATCGCAATCGCAACCGTAATCGCAATGTCGTCGTTTGCTTTAAGGTGCTTTCATTGTTACAAAAGATTAGAAAAGTGAGTATAAAAAGTTTAGATAAAAAAAACGGATTTTGAACATTTTACTTTACTTTTGATTTGCTTTTCACAGTTCATCAATGTGCCCCAATTGTCGCGAGTTTTTACTACCGTACTTTGAAGAGAAATCAAAAGAGGAGCTATTATTGGATGATATAAAAAGCAAAGTAAAGGTTTGTGAAGCAGAAATTGAAGGATTGTGTAAAGATCTTAACGCGATCAAAAACGATTGCAAGCAATTGGAGGAGGACTATGACTTTTTCGACAATGAAATGCCGCCACTGCAAGACGATACTCTCGAATGCAGCATTGCGCTTGAAGACAAGGTTAAGCAGTTGCAAGCAAAAACCGACTCGCTATTTAAATCGCATAAAATCATTGCTGAAGAAAATAAAATATTAAGCGCGACACTTGACTATGTTTCTGCTGAAATGCAAAGACAATCTGTTCAATACGAACAATTATCAATTGAAAATAAAAATTTACAAAACGTCATTAATCAATTAAATGATATGAAATTGGAAACTGGAATGAAAATTGTGCCGTCAGTAAATGATTTAAACAATTCCAGACAAGATAATATAAAACAAACTATAAACAAAACCAAGAGATTTAAGAAGCAATTCGATAAACAAATCGATGCAACGGATTTCGCTGACAATAGACGTAAATCAGAAGCTGGTGATGAGTGTAAAAACTCTAAAATGGGAATAGTCCCGCCGAATGATTCAAAAAAATTGATTCAACAAAAATCCAAAAATATGGCTAAAATGCGTAATGGTATGATATTAAATATTCGTTTCGATAAGTGACGCGTTAGTACACAAATAAAAATTTCAATTATTTTTTTAATCTTTTACTTTCATTAAATTTTTAATGTTATTCAGCGACTAATATAAGATGAACGTATCTTTTTTGAATGGCATTCAACACATTGCTTAATAAATCCCGTTATGGATGTAAAAATGTCATCGCTAGCGAAAAATGCATTTGTATGTTATTTCACGAAATGGCGAAGCCTAAAACCCTTTGTACATTGCAATCATTTATTTACCAGGAATGGATAAAATCCGTGTATGTCGTATGTCAGTTAAACCGAAAATGTAATGAAATGAGTAAAAATGTTAATATGTCGACCAATTGCCGCGTACGTCGATTTGATATCGATTCGAAAAATAGTTATAAGGCATGTAACAGAGTTGTTTGCAGAAACCTAAACGATTTCTATCACTTAAGCTTAATGTTGCACTCTTCAAAAGTCCATCAAAACAACTCAGCTCATCAACTAAGCTTAATATGCGCGATTTGCGTATAACAAACTTAACTGGTGTTGTTTACTGTTATCGGTTACCAAGCTTGGGTATAGGGGTTCATTTGCAACTTCAATCCGTGCGGATGTTATTTGTTTTCTTCACTTCTCCTTCGATAGTTTGTATTAGTTGTCAATAATAATTTTTATAAGGTTTACTTCTAAGGGTCGATTGACATCGAGTTTTAATTTATTTTAGACGCGTTTCATGTGCAGTAAGTAAAGTAAATAAATCAATCATCATCAGTATCAAAATTTCTTAATGCCTGATGTAATCAGTTTTTTTTTTCCTTGGCCTAGTTTTCGGGATGTCGATGCTTAACAAATGCTTATCTCGAGCAAAATAAATAAATCTATTGCTCGCATAAGTTGCAAACGTAAAAATGATGATAGGAATTTGAAATTTGATACATGCAGGTCTTGATCGATCAATAATCGAAGGTTAAAAAAATGGATGCACTAACGGGATGCGATTGAAATAATACTGTTGGCGTGCCATCAAATCGCGTAATTTTTTTTAATCTATCAATGCTTTTATGTTTAAACGTCTTAAGGAGACCATGTAATAATCCTCTTGGGACTGCAATATCCTTTTCCTTTTTAAAATATATGTTTAGACGAAAACCGAATTGGCAAGCAAGAAACATTTCTGTGATAATGAACTTTTGATATGCAAACATTGCCTATCTATAGACTACGTTCGTGATCGTATTTGAGTAGACCAACTGAATTGTATAATAAGGTTATCAGGCATTGCACGGACAGACAGACGGACGGATAATGCTTAAAACGATTTCGAAATTGATACTAATCAAAAATGTTTATACTTTGTTCGCTCTCTGTAGCATCCTTATGGGCGTTGCGAGCGATTTGAATTGATCCGCAATCCTTCCGTGTTGGGTATAACAAGTGACGCAAGTGTTAATATTTTCGCTAAGCATTATATATATATATATTATATATATATTATAGAGAGTAATATATATAAAAGTTAAAGATATGGATATGTTATAAGTTGTATCTCTCGATCGTTTTGTTGTGAAACTTGTTATCCTTGATGCAGGCATTATAGATTCGTGATAGTTAAGGATAGATTTTCTTCACTGTTTTCATTCTTTGAATCGAAATTATCTTCCACAGCCATAACTTGATATTTTCCTCAAGAGTTGTCACGAAATGTTGCTTCTTTTATATTACGATTTTGATAGGCAAGTAATGAATTGGCACTGTCGTCCATATATTCGTAGATGATTACAGATTTATAATCGGGATGATTTTGTGCGTTCGTTCTGTTGCTTGAAGACTGTTCAGCTCAACCACTAGCGAAACTTTATCAGGCAAACGATGAGTTGCATAACGTTCCTCTACAATGCGCACAGCACGGACATCGGCCGGAGTCAATTCTACATTTAATAATGATGCAAAAATTACAATCACTTCCGTCATCGGATAACATATATAGCAGAAAGGAAAATCTTTGATAAATACGTTAAACATTTCGGTGCAGTTGTTAATGTCAACAGCATCTAAGTCTTTCTCAGATCTCACGGACATTTCCTCTTTATCATTGTTGATCTTCACGTTGTGCAGCTCATTATTAGGGTATTTAACAGATGACTCCAATTCCATACCACCGTACTGATCGAGCAAGGCTTGCAGTTTAATTTTTTCAATGGAAAGTTGAGAGATTTTTTGCTCCATTATTACCAACTTTTCACTGTTCACTTCATTTTCTTTGGCTTTTTCTTTATTTTGCGATAACAACCATTCGTTTTGCTCCTGCATTTGTTTAATTATATCCAACTCCTCCTTATATTGCTCTTGCAAAACTATTTTACTAACATTTAGTTTAAGCATCTGTTCATGAGTCATCGTGCATTCCTCTTGCAATCTCTCCATTTTGTGTTCATACCTTAGGAATTTGGATTGCAAGTCTTTTACTACAGACTCATCGACTACATTCACATCGAAATTTAAAAACAATTTATGAAGAAAGTTGTAATAAGATCGGCATATCGGGCATTCTGTGCATCTGTGTTGAAGCAAAAAAAAAAAAAAAGACAAAAAAAAAAAAAACAAAAAACTCGCATTATTTTTTGTTTTGAGGGGTTTTTTTTTTTTTCAATCTTACCGCATACGCCAGTCCAGAATGCAAAAAGAGCGAAAGGCGTGGCCACAAGTCGTGCTGTAAATGGTATCCGTAGTCCTGAAATTTTCCTTACATATCGGATACTGAATGCTAGGCGCTGATGGCATGTTTTCATTCAATGTTCGATCTAGACCTAGCACTAGCTGCCACTTTCAATTAGCAAACAATTCTATCAGATCGTATCGTATTAGATGTGCGTTACCTTTTTTGCTAACTTCTCGCAAAAGTAGTTCTATTCGCTGTTGTAGTGTACGGACCCCGAACGCGTTCAATTTTGATTTCTGCACTTTCTACGAAATCGAACAATTGAAAAAACAAAATAGAAAAAAAAAAAAACAGGAAGGCACTGTCGACGAACGTACCGGCACCGCGCGCACTCCTCCTTAATTACAATTTTCCTATCCTTTATAAAATTCTCTTATATATATTTATATATATATATATATATATATATATATTTATAAAATTTATCTTCCTTTCGCACGTATTGACGTGTTCGTTTTCGTAAATTTAAAAATGTTTCATTGAATGAAAATTACTTAATTAAATTACAATGGATAAGTTTTTTTTGTGTTAACTGGATTCTATTGTTGAGGAATAAAAACCTAGAAAAAATGAATGACATAAAATTATTTTCGTCTATAGAGCAAGCTCTACCAAGCGAGTATAGTCGGTTCAAATTGTTAAAATTTTTGAATATTGATTTTCTATAGCGAACCTTACCTTCTGACTTCTTTTTATTTTACTTATTGCGTACTCAGCTCAGCGCTTCAGCAAAGACCTTCTAGAAAAAACTAAAATGAGAAGTGTATTGCAATGAAATATTCGTTTACATAACACGACATATGGGTATTTTTGTATATATTGTATGTATATATACATATATGTTTTTTGTATATAATAGATGCTTACATGTATTCCGATTGGCGACATCGATTGGTAAAAAATGATGAAATAATGCAAAGTATCAATCAACAGCGGATAAATTTGATGATTTTTCCTACCTACCTCTATACAAAATAAGAATTTTCCGTTGAATATTACTGCGTTAAGTATTCACCGTATGCAGAATTGTGGCAAGGGTTTAACGTGGTGGCCCAAGCCACTTTAAGCGTACTACGCCCCCTGGCGAGTTAGACAATCCCCACAGAGTAGGGGCCTAAACAGCACCAGAGTCCAGAACGGTTTATTGTGTATGGAACAATAAACCCCACTCCAGTCAATGGTGAGGCCTAGCTGCATTCAAATTGTTCCATTTTAGCTAGGAACTCGCCAACCACAATCACCACGATTACTCCCCGAAGGGCCGCACCCAAACAGTCAGGACTCACAAATTGATCAACGCTTGCTTCCGCCATAAGGCTTCCACTGTGCTGTTGATCAATTACCACCATTACCCGCAGGCATCCGTGACATATGTTCAAAAGTAAAAATAGGCAAAAAGGGAAAAACCTTTCCGTCATATCCCTTTTTTCATTTTTGCATGTGTTAAATTAATTTGCCAGAGGTCTTCTATTAATCGGCTTCACCGTATGCAGACAGCGTCCAATGATGAATGCTCGAAATTTCATTTTCGACTTTCATTATCTTTATTGTTTGATTTGAAGAAATCTGCTGCCGTAGCCCATCGAACACTTTCAGAAGCCAATGGTGATGCTGCTCCATCATGTCACAACTGTCGTTTTTGGTTTCAACGGTTGACAAATATTGATCCTGACATCAATGACAAAGAACGAAGATATGGAAGACTAAAAAAGTTCAAAGACAATGAATTACAAGACTAATTGGATGAAAACTTAGCCCAGACTCAGCTTCGAATAGCTTAGCAGTTTTAACAGTGAATCAACGGTTTCTAGGTGATTACATGCGATGTGGAGATGAGAGATGCGAACAGGCGGTTACATATTAAGAATTCAAAATTAGGAAAAATTGCTAAAATAAAAAATTGACTGAAAATGCCAATTTGGACCGTCTCAATATTGCGGTTCCCTAGCCTGCCAGGCCAAAAAAAGAAGATTTCTTTCTGCGGTTTCTTAGCTTGCCAGGCAATGAAAGAAGAGTTCTTTCTGATTAATTAGTCCAGTAGAGCCATCCACATCGACATCGAAGCGGCATATTCATGGCCAGAGCGTTTTGCCACACAATGCGCCATCAGTTCGCTAATACATAAATTATATACAATTTTATTCGAACCAATGAAACAAATGAAACTTTCCCTGAGCTTTCTACTGCTTTACGCGATATCGAGAATTCTCCGTGAATGAGTTTCTATTAAAAATTTATTCATTATTTTGAGTGTTAACTCACCCTTCGCACCAACTTTAAATGTTGTCAATTTCGTGGTCTTTCTCTCG